AGCTTTTAAAAGATGTTAATTTACCTTCAACGGTGATACTGAAGGTACAGTATGTGGGTTGGTTCACTTCATCTAAAGCCAAGTAACGAATTGTGGTTGTACCAATGTAGTAAATATCTCCATCAGGGTTGTAATTTGTTATTGCTTGCCCTACTGACAGTAACTGAATATTGTCGATAGCCACCGGTACAGTAAAATTTACAATGGAATAGTTCTTGTTTTCGAGAGTGTCTACAACCGTGTCACTTGGACAGAATGTAAATACAGGCGCCTCAGTATCTGTAGGTGAAGAAACAATGCTACGATATATATATTTACAAATTATAACCAAACTAAAAACGCCAAACTATCACTGATGTTGTTCGTATACTAAAAAATTGATTATCCTAATAACTGTCTCTTATAATTTTGTATTTTTTTTTCATCATCTGCTTCTATTACTATTCTTAAAAGAAATTTAAAATGATTAATACAGTATTAGTGGTAATGACAATGAAAAATTAGTTAATTGTATAGTTGGATAACAATAAATTATAAATACTGTAAATCAATAAATATTTTTTTATGTAGCTTAATGGATGAATAATAATTAAATTTTATAGTGTTTTTATTTTGAATTATACTGTAAATTTTATCTATTGAAATTCTAATATTGTTGTTACTTTTTTCTTTTTTCTTCTGTGTGTTTGTAACGCCTTGTAATATATCTTTTTTTGTAATGCAACCTATTTCAGCTCTTGCTGCCAGTTTGTATTTTTGTATTTTATACCGAAATAAATAAATAATTATAAGTATGCAAATTTTTACTGCAATTAATATGTCTTCTCTGAGTCATTTTGGAGGGTGCATAATGTATATAAAAACAATCAACAAAAACTGCACTTGCAATGAAATGTTAAGGATTGCAGATTGGACCAGGATACTAACATTGAAATTTTACAATTAATTAACAATGAATAGAGCAGGTGCACCTGGAATTAACTTGATATTTTTTTTAGCTCCAGCAACCATAATAGTTTGTCTTGGTTGGGGGCTGATAGGAGGGCCAATTTAGGTTGAATCACATCATAAAGACAATTAGATAAACATTTCAATGTATGAGAGAGCAATTTTCATTGTTTCTAAAAATGTGCTCACATTCTAAATATTGATCATGGGTGATTGGGGGGAAGGGTTAGTGGACCAAGGAAGATTTAGAACCAAATAATAATTAAAAGATGGATGTTGTCATGCTCCATGATAATGTATGTGGTCATGCTCCATTTGTGTGTTGGTGTTTGCTACCATACATCCAGAACTCAAAACTAAATACAGTTGTTGTTATACAGGCAATACCACATACCTTGGACTACTGTGATGTTAATCTCACAATAACCCTTGTTCAAATACGCATCGGTAGCATTGTACACTACAATTGTTTCACCAATATCAAAAAAATCTCCTGGATTATGGGTTTTTGTAACACTTGGAGTTTCACCAGAGTTGTCCACAAACGATGGTTCATCCCAATTCACAGAAACACTACTAACACTTCCTGGTATGATCTCAAGATCCACGGTTGGACAGTTTGAAGTTGTTGGAGCCTCTTCATCTGTTATAAATAAATTTATATTATAGGCCTATTAATGATTTATTTAATTAAACTGGTAGTTGGATTTATGATACCAGATTCAATATTAATTTAATGCAAAACAATGGATGTCCGTCTTTAAATAAACAATTCATATAAAATGCAAAGACACATAGAAACATCAATAGTAAAATCAATCAATGAAATTCTACATTCTCACTTAAAAATGGTTTTAAAAAGCATTAAAATGTACTACCACCATCAAAACAATAAATCGTGGCCTTCCCTAAAATTCACGTTTAAATGCATTGTAACAACAATTATTATCATTATCAGTATCATGATTTTATTATTGTTCAACATATTACCATAACATATATTTATTAGAATTCTTATTTAACATTTTTATGATAAAATTTAAGTTAAGAAAAGTTCACATAAATGAGTACGAACACAACAACAAAATCCCTACATTCACCTGTTATTATTGCATACGAGACTAATATTCGAAAACTGAGAAAGGAACAGGAAAGGTAAGATAAGGGAACATCAGAAAGGACTGAAAAGATAAGGATAAAAACAATAGAGAAAGAAAAACGAAAGAGGAGGCGTTGGAAATACAAAGTAACATGCCACGAAATGGCCTGGGAAAGAAACACTAATGCTGTGTGGGCTGAATTGATTAAATCGTTACAATAACTAAACTATTGTAATCATAATTATTACTAATCATCGAATTAAATGTTACACTAATCTAAACCCTAAAATAAATTGGGTAAGTAATTAACGGTACATTTGTACATTACTATCTTGTTTTATATATTATAGTCTGTTAACTTATTTTTGGTTTATTTTATTCTCTTATGTTGTTGTTAACTCCTCCTCCGAAGTTATTCAATCCTCTGCAATAACCCATATCATGGCAACTCAACCATATCCCAGATTGGAATAATGTCAAAATTCCTAAAGAACAAGCATGGCATAAACGAAAAATCCGTGAATCCATCAAATTCAGATCAAATCCAGAAAATATGAAGCGTGGCGAAGGAGTCCACAGTCTTATTGAAGGAGGCGGCCGACAGGTGTAGCACGAATTTTAGTTCCCGGCGAATTTTAGTATTTCGTGGTCTGTATAATCAGAGCCTATGGGACACAAATTTGCAACACTTTCTTCCGGGGTAAACAATTATTAAATATGTATATGTATTCATTAAAAAAACATAAAGTAACGGAAGTTTATACAATCGAGCATGTACCTCATGATCGACTTACCTTCACAGCCTAATTATCTAGCATAAACAATCAGTAAAAAATATGTTAAGTTAATTTACGTTGAAAAAATCACAAGTCACTTTGCATTTGCAGCGAGAATAAGCGAGCATGATGGGAAGGTTAGGTGAAACTTAATTTCCTTTACAGCGACAGAGTTAGGCTAACAACACTAAGGCCTTGCTAAGGCGGGTAGGTCGAGTGAACAATAATTAGCCGGGAATAGATTAGTAATCATATTACGTCCGCATAAGCAGTATAAGATGAAACTGTATTAACCTTCTGTTGCTAAGTATATCCAAACGCACACGGCGCCCTTCTTTTTCCACTAATGGAGGAAAACTTTATCACTAGAGTGCGTCCAGCCATACGATTCTGCGCTATATTGTTTTTTATACTGATCCATGGGCTTAATTGTGTTTTATTTGGATAATAGCAACGATTCCTACCTCCGCCAAGGAGGTTATGTATTCACCGTTGTCACTGTCTGGGTACAACTGTACTAATAGTACAATTGTGTACATTTTTTTAATTGAGGATTGCCAATAAAATACGCGACGACGGTAACGAAAGTTTGGTAGAAGTTTTTTAGATCCAGCCGTGAGGGGCGCCCCATTGGTTGTATTCCCACCATGCATTTCGGTGGCACACTTTTTTTCTGTGGAGAATTCTATCTTGTGTTTCTAGTATCTTTGGTGAAGTTAATCGAAACTTTGGATTAATGGGAGACCTTGTCTCTAGCTGCGCTCAACTGTTAGTTTGCCTACATGTTTTGTAAAGCTATTCATTGGTTTTACCTTGAATTTGCGTGTAGTATGTTAACATAAAGCTTCCTTTTTTTTTGGTTTTAGCTGAGTAGCCTGCACGACCGTTGTCACGTCTATTTCTTTTTTTTTGGACCATTATTTATTTACTTATTTATTGAACGAGGGTACGGCCCGAGGGTGTAGCAACTTGTTCTGTTTTGTGAAGAAAACAAAAAGGAACATTCTTTTAAGACATCTGAACAGCTTGTCGCACCATTGCTAAAATAAAATTGCCGATAAAAGTAGGCCTGTAAAATTAAGGGCATTTTAAAAGTGGTACTGTATGTTGATTCTATTCTTTAGTTGATTATTTTAATGTACGGGGTGTATTCCACACATTTGCATACTACTGAAGTCTGGGTTATATTACAATGTTAAGTTAATCTGCATGTTGATCGTATTTCCAATTATTTCCTCACAATGTGTTGTTGTGTGATAATCGATTTTTTTTCTCATTATTTATATGTTTTCTCAATGCAACAACATATAAATTAAATAAAAATAAATAAAACAATTCCCGCTTATAGAAACAAACAACAGTGATTAATAATCGGTTGATTTAAAATAAAGAGATTTATAGTAGTATAATAATTTCTATAATTAATCGACCAAATATTAATATCCATAATTTAACTATTGTGATCGATCCTTATAGTCGTTGATGTTGGGCAACTCGGACAGCGTCGTATGATTTTTATATTAATTTTTTTAAATAGCTAAAGCTATCTGAAATAAATATCTAATAAAAACCAACAACAATTAGGCCTACTTATGATTTTGTATCCCTATTTAAAAACTTAACAGCTTTAAAGCTGTAACAAAGACTGCCTTGCTGATCCGATCAAGTGCATTGACAATCAACAAAATTTCAAATAACTCAATCACTATAGTCGAAGAAATTTCTTTCTTTTTTTATTTCTTTTAGCCCTATTTCATTTTCAACAAAATATTGAAAAAAAATTTCGCCGACGCAAGTAATACTACTACTACTACTACTAATAATAATAATAATATTATTAATAACAATAATTAAAATAATATTATTATTGTTATTATGATTATTACAATTATTATTATTATTATATTATTATTTAACATTACAGTATAATAATCATCACAACAAAGAAATCCACTAAAACTTTTAACAACAGAAAGTATTAAAAAAAAAATTTTTTTTTTTCTCATTTAGTGAAAGTTGTTGTTTTGAATCGTGTTTTAAATGTGCAATCCAAAATTGTACAGTATTTAATATGTTGAAGTTTGTCGTTGATGTCTGGTAGCAGAAAATTAGTTTAGTACTTGATGTATTTTGAATCACCGTTTTGACAGTGGCACATACCATAGGCCCAGACAACATTTTTTCTCTTTTTACTATAATCTATAAATTAAGATAGGCCTACAAAAATTGATGCTTTTTCAGTTGAATGCTTGTGTTTGTATGAATGGTTGGAAGGAGGATAAGCGCATACTACCAACATATTTTACAATGCCAACTCGCATCCATATTTATTCAGTGGCGTAACAGGCGGGGGCAGGGGGCAGACTGCCCCCGACGGTTTTGACCGGGCTGAACTAGTCGTCGTACCGGGCTGGGTAATAAGAGAAAAGAAAGAGGGGAGAGGGATGGAAAGAAAAAGAAGAGGAAGAGAAAAGGAAAGGAAAAGAAAAAGAGTAGAGACAAGAATAAAAAGGAAAATATCATAATGACCAGACTCACAACACCTTGCAACCTCTTCTCCACTTAACTTTTTTGATCTAAGCTGCCAGATGGCGTAGGCTAACCACCGGGGAACAAGGGGAAAATATCTATCTTTGGAAAATATAAATGCCCTTTTCATCCCCCTGAAAGTGCCTAAAAATCTCAAATTTCGCGCGCATTTCTTGTCAGAGTAGGCCAATTTCCTCTAAAAATTGCACA